CACCGCAGCAGGGGGAGGTCGCCCGGACGAGCTCCTGCCCCGAAAGAAGTGCCCTCGGCCCCTGCCCGGTGTCCGGGGACCCGGGTAATCGCGTCTGCTTCCCAGCCGCCTCCTTGGTTTGGCTTCCGGGGCCGGCAGGTGCTTCAGGAAAACAGGGAGGCTCTGCCCAGCCTGTGAGCGGGGACACGCGTTTCCCGTTAAGGTGGGGAAGGCGTTCTGGGCAGTGCTTACCCACGCCTGCCTATCTTTGAAAATAAACATGTTGGGAAATCGTCAGCTGCACAGCCATGTTCATGGCCGTGTGACTCACAGCAACACCTTGTGTGTCCATCAAAGGATGAAGAGATAGACCCGGGAGTAGTGGTGCACGCCTGTAGTCCCAGCTCTCAGGAGACTGAGGCAGGAGGATCACCTCGAGTTCGAGGCCAGCCGGGGTTACAGAGTGCATTCAGGACCAGCCTGAGCTACAAAGGGAGACCCTGCTTTAAAAGGCGGGGCGGGGATTTAGCTCAGTGGTTCCGGCGCCTGCCTCCCGAGCACGAGGGCCCAAGTTCGATCCCCAGTACCCCCCCAAAAAAAGAAAGAAGAAAAAGATGAAGAGACAAGGACACAGTGGAATATTACACAGGCGTGAAAAGGAGGGAGAGTCTAACCCCTGTTCCAGGAGGTGCCAGCATCGTCAGACCCACAGAGACCTGAAGGAGGACGGTGGTGCTGGGCTGGGGAGGGGACGGGAGTCAGCGTTTCCTGGGACAGAGCTCGGCTGGGAGATGGAAAGTCCTGGAGGTGGACAGTGGGAAGGGCAGCACAGCCAGGTGACTTTGCTTAATGCTGCTACACTAGACTCTTACATGGTTAACAGGGAGCATTCTCTTATATGCATTTTAGCACAATTCAGTTTTCCTAATATATTGAAGTTTTCCTAGTACAAAGAAAAACCTTGAAAATTCAGGAAAAAAAATGGAAAAGGCGAAACAAATTAGTCAATTGCCATTAAACTCTGTTTCCTACCAGCTCTTTTGAAAATACACTGTTGCTGGGGATTTAGCTCAGTGGCACTGTGCCTGCCTTGACATTATAAGGGCTTTGATATATCACCTGGTTCTTTATTTTATTTATTTATTTTTTTGTACTGGGGATCGAACTTGGGACCTTGTACTTGCAAAACAGGCGGAGGCACCACTGAGCTAAATCCCCAGCTGTCAGCTGGTTCTTAAAGTTACCATGTTTTCTTTGTTTGTTTGTTTTTTTTTTTTTTTTTTTTTTTTTTTTTTTGGTACTGGGGATCAAACTCAGGACCTTGTGCTTGCAAGGCACGGGAAGTGCCAGTGAGCTAAATCCCCAGCCCTGTCATCAGGTTCTTAATGTGCTTTATGTATACAACTTAATTTAATTTCTCTGATGATTTTACAAGACAGACCTTTTTTATCAGTACTGGAGATGGAACTCGGGGCCTTGTGAATGCTAGGAAAATCCTCTGTCACAGAGCCTAAACTCCAGCTCTTTTATTTGTTTTATTTTGAGACAAGAATCTGGCTAAGTTGCCCGGGCTGACCTCAGACTTGAGATCCTCCTGCCTCAGCCTCCAGAGTAGATGAGATTATAGGTGTGTGCCACTGCAGTCAGCCACATCTTTTTCTTTTTTTTTTTTGTGCCAGGGATCGAACTTGGGTCCATCCCTGTGCTTGCAAGGCTAGCGGTGGAACCACTGAGCTAAATCCCCGGCCCCACATCTATTTATTAAGTGTAGTAAAAGATATAAAATTCACCCTGTCAACCATCTCAAAGTGCCCTTCACAAAGTACATTCATAATGTATGACCATAACCTCTGTCCATCACCCCAGAGACAGTATCCCCTCTCCAGCCCTAGCACCCAAGTCTTCTTCCTGTCTCTGGACTCGCCTGTCCTGGGTGTCTCCTGTCCATGGAGCCCGCACTGTGTCTGTCGTCTCTCACTGAGCACATCCATCCTCAAGGCCCCTCCATATGGTGGCAGGCATCACAGCCTCGCTCCTTGTCTGGCTGAGCAAGATTCCAATGTGTGACTGGACCGCTCTGTGTCTGTCTGTCCATCCATGGATATTGGGCTGTTTTTACCTTTTGACTGTTGTGAAAGGTTATACAGTTTTTCATAGTTACACAAAATTCCCCAAATGTGGGCCGGGGATTTAGCTCAGCGGTTCGGTGGCCTGCCTCGCAAGCGCAAGGACCGGAGTTCAATCCCCGGTACCAAAAAAAAAAAAAAAAAAAAATTCCCTGACTGCAATGTGTCTCAGCAGTGAGTGCTTGCCTAGCATACAGGAGACTCTAGTTTCCACCCCATCACCACAAAATGATAATAATGATAATGACAATAATAATAACAATAAAGAAAAAAGAATGCTTTTTTTTTTAAACTGAAAGGGCCCTTGGAAATGAAAAGTCTGATAGCCCAAGTGTCAACAGGAGGGTTGGAGGAAAATGTAAAGGAAAAAGTACCAAAAGTAGGGTGAAAAGAAAAAGGTTTTTTTGTTTGTTTGTTTGTTCTTTTTGAGACAGGGTCTCACTATGTAGTTGAGACTGACCTGGAACTCACTATGTAGCCCAGATTGGTTTCAAACTCACAGCGATCCTCCTGCCTCAGCCTTCTGAGCGCTGCAATTACAGGTGTGTGCCCCCATGCCTGGCTTTTTTTTTTTTTTTTGGCTTTGTTTTTTGAAAAGAAAAAGGTAAGGTAAGTGGGCAAGAAACAAGAGGAAGGGCCAGGAATTTAGCTCAGTGGTTCTGTCACCTGCCTCACAAGTGCAAGGGCCCAAGTTCAATCCCCGGTACCAAAAAAGAAAAGAAAGAAAGAAACAAGAGGATCACCAGGTATGCTGGTGCACGCCTGTAATCCCAGAACAGGGGGGGAGGCTGAGGCAGGGAGATTGCTA